GCTCGCGGTGGAGCGGCGGTGTGTCTCTTCACCCGTGGCTGGTATGAACAGGTGGACGCGGCGGCGCTCGAGATGAAGCAGCGGCGGCTTGAGGACGAGCACGAGGCGCGCGGCGGCGCGAGTGTGCTTCCCTGCCGTGGACAGCGCCTCTTCACACCGGAGGGTGCGAGCAGGCGGTCGTGCACGAGTACTCGCTGCTCCTCACCGGGCGCGGCTGCCTCGAGCTGCGGCGGCAGCGCTTCTCCTTCTCCCCCCCCCCCCGGGACCGTCCCCCGGACCGCCCCCGTAGGCAGCTCGAAGTGCAGCGGCAGCATTTCGAGGCGCAGCTCGAGGCCGCCACCCGCGCGCACGCGGCCGTCGCCGCCGAGCTCGAGGTGCCCGCCGAGCTTGTCCTTTCGCCGAGCCGCGGACGGCGTCTCTTCACGGCGCAGCGCGGTGAGTAGGCGTCCGTCGAGCGGCAGCGTGCCGAGCTGCGAGGGAGGGCAGAGCAGGTGGAGCGGAAGGCGCATGCGCAGGCGAGGCGGAGCGCCGCGTCAGACGCGCTGCTCTCCAGCGTGCGCGGCGACCTCGCCTTCAACAAGCAGCTCAACGAGCAGCTCGTCGCCAACCAGGCAGAGTTTGCGGCGCAGGCCAAGGCGGCCGGCGAGCGGGAGGCGGCGCTGCAGGGCCAGGTGCGCGAGCTCGAGGAGCAGCTGCGCGACATGTCCATCCACCTCGAGGCGCAGATGAAGATGCTCGAAGTGCAGGCGGCCGAGGGCGGCGCGGCGGCCGAGCTCAACGGGGCGCACGTGATGCCCGGGGAGCCGCCGCCCGCGCGGAAGGGGCGCCGCGGGAGGAAGGGGTAGAGGTGGAGATGGTTCGTGATGGCAGCGTGAGATGTAGGTAGATCTCGACCCCCAGAATCTTTCGCGTTCTTTCACCGTTTACTGGAAAAGCGATCAAGGCCTGTCTGTATGTATGTAGGAAGGTGAAGAACATTTGGGGGGGGGGGGGCTGCGAGGACTCGCAAGAAAAAGTGCACCGCGGCGCGGGAAAGGAGTCTCCAACAGTCTCCACTTTCCCGTCCACGCGGGGCCAAACGCTGCCAAGAGTTCTCCATGTTCCCGTCCACGCCAAACGCCGCGCTCGGTGGCACCACGCCCGCCACAAAGAAAAGGCCGCACGAGTTGGAGCCGGAGTCCAGCTCGGCGTACTCGGACCGGCATCCCAGCAAGGCTGCACGCACTGGCGCTGGCGGCCTTGACGGCGGCGTGTCTGACATCAAGGAGTCCGCCACCAAGTCCGCCGCAGCCGAGGAGTCCGCCGCCGAGGAGGCCCCCACCGAGGAGGCCGTCGTCGCCGAGGAGTCCGCCACCAAGGAGGCCGCCACCAAGTCCGGCGGCGGCGGCGGCAGCAGCGGCGGCGGCGTGTCTGAGGTCGAGACGCAACTTTCCAGGATCGAGTCTGCCGCTGACACCCTCAAAACCCTCGGCGCGGACGCTCTCAGCTCTGGTACAGCCGAGCAGCTGCGGGGAATCGCGATGTCTCTCTGGAAGCTGAATGACACCTTCGAGCAGCGGGAGGCGGCGAGGAAGGAGGCTGCGGCTGCGGTCCCCACCGACGACACCTTTCTCGGCGCCCGCGTCCGGCTCGAGCTCGACATCGTGGAGCAGATTGTCCTTCAACTCCCTCCCAAGGGCATGGGCGTCGCCGCACGCGTCAACCGGCACTTTCTGCAGGCCGTCGAGCGCGCGATTCCTGCGCGGCTGCGGCCCCGGCCGCCCCCGCCGAAGCCCAACGAGCCGCAGCTGCCCAACGACCCGCGGCGGCGCAACCTCGGCCTCGCGGTCGATGCCGACGAGAAGGTGACGACGGAGCTGCTCTCGCAGCTGGAGCAGCAGGTGGATCAGGTGCCAGCCCTACTCGAGCGGTCCGAGGTCGAGGACCTCCGCAGGCTGGGGTCGTTTCACCACTCGGTGCTGCACACCCTGCTCGACGACGAGAGGCTACTGAAGCTGCTCGAGGCGGCCGACTTGTCAGGTATGATGGCTTGGCGCATCATGGTCAAAGGGAAGCCAACACCTGCGTGGGCCCAGCGGAACAAGTCGGCAGTGGAGGCAGCATTGCGTGCAAGCGACCCCTATTCGGATGAGATATTCATCCGCCTGTGCCTGTTGTTCCGCTTGATGCCCGCCTCTGTGGCCGAGGAGCACGTCGAGGACATCGGCGCGGTTCTTGCGCGGATCGCTGGGAGCTCCTGTTCGCCGCTCATGATCGGCATGCTGCTGGATCTCCTCGCAAGGCTGTCCACTCCACACCTCGCGCGCATCCGCGCCAAGATCGACGAGTGCTGGAGCGCATGTCAGGCAAACCACGCGTTCAACCACCTCGCGATCGCGCCCAAGGTGCGGGCCCTCCTCGCCCAGGCCAACGGCACGTCCATCTGAGCTATCCTTCGGGCCAACGCCGCGTCCCTGTCCGTCCCTCTGTCGCAGCGCACTCACGTGCCGCCTTTTTGCTTGCTGTTGCTCGAGTTGTGCGTGGACCGTGATGACAACAAAAGAAAAGATCTCCGCCCGGCAGGAACCCGCCACATATTGCGGCTCTTCACCGCCGCATGTCGCCGTCGCACGCAGTCCCTCGCCGATCACTCGCATGCGAGGTGGAGAGCAGGAGAGGTGCGTGTCCGGGCGGAAGAGTCAGTCTCCCCTCCCAGCCAGACGGCAGACTCGTCTTCCCATCCATCCAAAGACAGCCAGTTCTAGAGTCCAGGGGTGTGTGTTTGCTCGGCGCCGCCCTTCGGGGCACCGCGCGCGCCAGCCACCTCGCGCCCCCCTCCGCGCTCCGCCCCGCCGAGCGCTCCGCCGCGGGCGCGGCGGGCAGCACGGCGCCGCGGCAAGTTCCGGAGGCAAGAGGGTCGCGGGTGCGGCCTCTAACTAGGTTGGGCTCTCGCGCCCTCTACCGCTTTGCGCCGCCGCCGCGCCCGTGATTCGTGTGCTTCTTGGGCGCGTTGTGCTTTTGGCCTTCTTCTTGGTTGCGCGATGCGGCGGCGCCGTGTGGGTCGCCAGCTCCTCGCCGGCGAACGCGTCCGCGCGCAGCGACGTGTTGACACAGCGCGCTGGCGCGCCTAATCAGCCAATGTCATCATTAAATCTCTCTCTCTCTCTCAGTTGGGGGGGTAGGAAGGGAAAGCGCGGTGGGGGGCGAGCGTAAAAAGCGTCAGGAAAGCATGCAGGAAAGTGTTTTGCATCTCAAACTCAGGCGCAATGTCAGTGTCGTCGTTGGGGCCGTTCGTCGGGGGAGGGCGGAGGGGGGGGGGGGGCGGGGGGCAAAAGAGTGGCGGCGCCTCAGCGCTCACCCCACACCCACAGCCACACCCCACACCTGACGCCCTCACGCCGGCTCGCAGGGGGGGGGAGCCCCAGGAAACTCGACGCAAATGTCGCCGTCGGTCGTCGCCCTTGGGCGCGCGCTTGAAGGATTGAGCCACCCCCTGCGCCCGCCTCAATAAGCGCTAAGGGCAAGGCGGGCGCGCGGGGGTTGACGTTTGTCTTCTTGTCATTTTGACCGCGCAAGATAAAAGGGTGGCTAAGGGCTCTGCCCGCAAGGCGCCCGCGTCGCAGACGCGGTACCATTGACAAATCTGCGATATACCCCCACACGAGCAAATAGCAAAATCCGAATACCGTGCACGAACTGCGTGATCTGGGACCCAAGCCATCAGCTGGTGCCAAGACATTCGTACAAACAATTGAAGCCAACACGGGATGGATTGCCGACGGGCAAGCGTCTCATTGGCGCCCCCCCCCCTAAGCAGCCCGTCGATGCAGGTGGCCCGCGCGGCCACGGCCGCAACGACGCGTCGCCGGCGGCGCTCACTCGAGCCCGAGCCCTCCGCGACGGCAACGCCAGGTCGTCGCGTCCGCCCCGCCAGCCCTTGAGCACGCCTCCCGCATCCCGATGACTGCACTCGGCGTCCACCGGCGGGGGACCATGGAGGAGCGGTCAGCAGTCTCGACTGCTCCACCGGCTCCTCCACAGGCTCTCGCCGTCGGCCCCGGCGCGCTGCGACGGCGCGCCGCCGGCTCCCACCGCGGCGTCCGAGCTGGAGGGAAAGGTGACGCACCTGATGGAGCTGCTCAAGGCGCATCAGTCGCGGGACGCGGAGGCGTCGCGGCTGCAGCAAGCGCTGCAGTGCCAGGAGGAGGCGGACGCCGCCAAGCTCGTCGAGCTGATGCGACGGCAGGAGGCGGCGAGCGCGGCGGCGGTCGAGGAGGCCAAGGCTGCGATCGAGGCGCAGCTGGTCGAGCGATTCCGCGAGGAGCAGGCGGCGGCGGCGGAGGCGCACTCAGCGCAGCTGCAGCAGCTGAGCGCGGAGCACTCGACGCAGCTGCAGCAGGCAGCGGCCCTCCTGGAGGCGCAGGCGCGCGAGAAGTTTGAGACGGCGGTCGCGCACGAGAGGGTGATTGGAGCAGGCGGTGCTCGCAGAGAGGCTGGTGAGCGGAACCTCTCCCCTCCCGCCTCCCCGCCCGCCTTCCCTCCCGCCTCCCGCCTCGACTCCCCTGCCTCACTCCTCCCGACCCATCCCTCACTCCTCACTCCGCCCGCCTCTCCTCTCCCCTCCCTCCTCCCCTCCTCCCCTCCCCCTCCCCTCTCCTCCTCCCCTCCCCCCCTCCCCATTCCCCCTTCCTCTCGCCTCGCGCCCAGCCCAGCCCCGCCACCTCACCGCCCTCCCAGGCGTATCTCTCCGCCCTCAAGCAGCTCGAGCTCGACGTCGACGTGCTCACACGCGTCCTGGCGCCTACTGTATACTTGATGCAGAGCTTTCCGACGTCATTGTGTTTGCCGCTCCGCGCTCGACGCCTGCCGCCGCGCGCGCCCGCGCGCCACCCCTTTTGCGCAGCAACACCTTAAATTTCATGGCCCTCCAAATTCGGGTCGGAGCGTAGCGGAGTGGGCCCCGAGTTTGAAAACGGCGACGGACGCTTGCGTCCTAGCCGCCAACAACGCCTCCCCGGCGCAGAGGGGCCCCCGGAGGGATGCTCAACCGCTCCACGCCACGCCGCTTGCGGCGGTCCTATTCCACGCTCGCGGGGGCCGGTTCTTATTGGATTTTTTTGCAGTTTTGGGCGTGTCGCGTGTTGCTACGGGGGAAGGACCGTGAGTACGGAAATCGGGGGACGCGACCCACCTCGCCACAGACGGTCCCGCGCCTCGCCGCTATGGCGGCCGCACGACCGCAGCTCGTGTGCGTGCGGCCGTCTTTGTCCGGAGTGAATACTCCAACGCGCTCGCTCGTCGGTGGCGGCTTCCCCCAATCTGTGTCGCACTCGGCGAACCTCGACAGCGCCTTCGGTGGCATGCAGCTCTTTGCGACAGAAGCCTGGAGAGCAGCTCCTCTGCTGCTCACACGCTCTGCACAGTTGGCACAGCCTACTGTGCGGCTGCCACAGCTGTCACAGCGATGGGCTCGCCCTCACTGGCCCTGAGTCACTTGTGCTGCGGCTTGTGTGAGCGACACTGCTCGGCGACTGCCGGCACACTGTGAGACCACGGGTGTGAGGGGTTAAACCACGCTACCAGCGCTTGGTCACATCAGCCCCGAGGTCAGATTCTTCTACTCTGTTGATGGTAGCACTTGTCTACTGGCGCTGGAGCCGAGCAGGAGGGCCTGGCGCACAACTCCTGCGTCCTGGTCAACTGAGGGTCCTCTTGCTCTTCCCCTTTAGTAAGCCTTTACTTGCTTCTTTACTTTCAATTTTTATGTCGTCACGCGAAACTTGTGAATTCGAGTCCCTACCCCGGCTCGAACTCAAAAAGCGCGCAGTCCACGCCCACTCCTGCCCGACCGCGGGGCGACAGGCGCGCACGGACACGGCCCCCCTGCGTGGCTGTGATCGCTAGCGAGGGGGCAACGTCGGATCGAAGCGCGCGCAAGCCGCAACAAATGCCGAGGCGCGTTGGGGTGCGATGTAACAAATGCCCCGGCGCGTCCGCGGCGCCGCCGGCCCAGCTCAGTGCGGCGAGAGCTCATCCGTGGTGCGGCGGCGAGCTAGGCAGCAGCGCGGCGAGGACTGCCGAAGCGGTGACCACTGCGCAGACGGCGCCCGCGTCGTTGAGGCAGACGAGCTGCGCCGCCTGAAAAGGACGGGGGGGAGGGGGGGGGGGGGTGGGCGGGGG